TGAGGATATTAATGTTCCATATAAATGAAATTTTATATCTGTGTCAAATCCATAAAGGATATTTAGAGTTCGAACTGAATAGAAAAATTGATTTTCATATAATTCAATGTTTTTATGAATGTACCCATTTCAAGAGATTTTATGATGTCCTGTTTGGTCTGAAAATAAATTCTATGCATAATCTACATATCTTTTTAGGGCTTGATTTTCTTGAGAGAGGTTTGAGTCANAGCTACCTGCGTGACATCCGGGTCCAGGAAATTATACAAATATGAAAGTTATTGAGTGTCTTTATATATAAACAGAAGTTAATATCGGACATAGCACTCATGAAAGTGGCAAACCCTAGACACGTGTTTCGGGCTTTTTGGCCCATCATCAGTATGATGCAGCCATGAGTAGAGCCTAGATGATGATAGTACGACCAGCTATCGAAAGCGTTCGCATATAATTAGACAGAAGTTATAAAGTTTCGAATCCTTTTTGTGACTTACATTAATATTAAATTATATATAGCGGAAGCGCTGTGAAGGATGAAAATCATATTTCATGAGAAACAACGGAGACCATGGTAAAAATAAATCCATATTTCAAACCAGCACACTGCATTCCATTTAAAACGAGTAACCCTGAATAACTTTTGGTACAATTATTTTCAGGAAAAATGAAAGGATATGTCAACAATAGTATACAGGGGGACACATTTTGACATATTCACATTTGATGTTACTATCCCTATCGCACCCTCTGAGCATGTCACCAATTTTTTTAAATGGATCACCCTGTATTGTTTTGCATTATCAGATGCTCCATGATGAGCAGATTTCAACAAGTCTGGTCTGAAGCTTATGGTTCGGGAGCTACAAATTATTTGAGTTGAAAACGAGCCACCCTAAATAACTTTAGAAACAATGATTTGCAGAAAAAATAAAAAAGCAGGTCAACAATTATACAGGAGGCTATATTTTGAAATATGCGTTCTAGTGACAAATATGAAAGCAATAAATCAGAAGAAGAGATTTTTTATCAATCCTTGAATAAAAATCTGATGATTGGACAATGAGTGAAAAAAAATGTTCTATAGTAGATGTTCAAAAACGTTTCCACCAACTTTCATACAATGGTACAAACGAGCTTCCATTGCCGCCCTCGTGATATTCTCTCTCAAATCTTCTAATGTTGTTGATTCTATCTCATACACTTTAGACTTCAAATTACTCCATAGAAAGGAATCTACAGGAGTGAGATTTGGAGAACTTGGTGGTAATTCTGTAGGACCTCTTATGCCAATCCAGCGACCAGGAAAATGATCATCCAAAAATTGTCGCACTGGAACTGCATAATGAGGAGGTGACTCATCCTGCTGAAAAACTATTTCGTTTTCGAATAAATGTACATCCTCCTCAATTGCCCGGTACGGTACGGTACGATGTCCGGTATTATTCGATTCTCCACCATATCCAAATATTTATCACTAGTTAAATTATCATTGATAAAAAAAGTCCTATGATGTGGTCACCTAAAATCCCTGCCCAAACATTCAGATTTTGAGGTCGTTGGGTATGACTTGGCGGTATAAATGAGGAAATGAGGATCACTCCAATATCGACAATTTTGTCGATTCACCTCTCCATTCAAACTAAACGTACATTCATCCGAAAAACAAATTTCATAGAAGAAATTCTGATGCAAGTTGATTCGTTCTATGAGACCTTCACAAAACTCGATACGTCTATTGAAATCATCTCGTTCAATTCATGAATTGGTTTAATCTTATATGGATGAAATTTATACTTATGAAGGATCCTGAAAACATTTGTACGACTAACTCCTGATTCTCTGATGATAAAATATTGCGAATTTTCCATTAATTCAACATGCCTTAAAACTGCTCTACAAATAGCTTCATCGTTGACAACTCCTGAACGGTTATGCTTTTTATTTTAAACGGATCCAGTTTCCATAAATTTGTTCAATAATTCCGAAACGTATTTGTGTCGTACATTTCTTTCTGGATGATTAACATTGAACATACAGGCGGCAGTTCTAGCACTATTTCCATTTTGGTAGTACAAACTCACAATTTCAATCCATTTTCGAAGCGTATGAACCATTGCTTCTCAAGAATTCACAGAAACAGAAACACTAATTGTAACTTCACCTGGTGGGTAATCGTTATTGTAGAATGAGACAAATACAAAATGGAAACAAAATCGAATTCAAACTTAAGTAGGCAAAATTAGACTTTTTTGAAGTATACTTCACAAAAACACCTATGAAACCAAGGTAACAGATTGTACAGTTCATTCAGGTTGGCTCTTTTTCAACTCAAATAATTTTTAGCTTCCAAACTATGAGCTTCAAACCATAATGTATTCTAGTTTGTTGAAATCTGTTCACCACGGAACATCTGATAATACAAAACAATTGATCCATTAAAAAAAATTGTGACATACTCTGAGGGTGCGATAGGGAAAGTTAGATCAAATGTGAATCTGTCAAAATGTGTCCCCCTGTATACTATCGTTGAGATCCAGGTCCATTATTGTTCTCTCTTTTCATTTTTGACTTTCCTGCCACGTTATCCCAGTGCGACGTACATTTATATGCTGATGATTTTCAATTATATCTGTCAAGTCAATCTAATAATATTTACCATGCTATCACCAGGATGAACTTAGATTTAGAAAATACACTTCTATTTTCCAAAAATCATGGCCTTCAAATAAATCCAAATAAAACAGTAACCCTATGTTTGGGATCTGACCTACAAAGAAATGAAGTTGAAACAAATTTCCATCTTTTTCTTGACAATGAACCGATTGACTGGGTGAATTCAGCAAAAAATTTAGGTGTATATATCGATAACACTCTCCATTTCAACGAGCACGTTAAACACATTTACAAAACTTGCTTTTTTAAACTGAAATCCTTAAACAAGTTCAAGTTCCAGCTTTCTCAAGAAACAAAACTGAAATTAGTTCAATCATTGATTTATCCCCATATTGAGTATTGCTGCTCAGTATATTAAAACTTCTTGCCAGACTATAATAAACACAAACTTCAACGCATACAAAATGCTTGTATAAGATTTGTGTGCTGCATAAACTACCGTGATCATGTAACTCCATATTTATTGAAATTAGATCAGCTGAATATTGCGTTTAGAATTCGTTATCTCATATCTGTATTCTTATATAAACTATCGGAAAGCAAAACTCCTAATTACTTGTTCAGATTAATTAGTGAGCGATCTGATGATCATTCTATCAATTTAAGAAAAGATACATTTACCATTCCATATCATGTTACCACCAAATTTGAGGGATGTTTTTCTTACTTTGGACCGAAGTATCTAAATAATTTATTAGCGTATATTCATTTATTTGACTATATATTCATTCATTTGTCTATATATCAATTCAAAAAAACTTTGAAAATTAATCTCCTAGATGTTCAAAAATAATTGTAATCTTTCATATTATCTCCATAATAGTTTTTTTTTTATATCAATGTTGTGTCTATTGTAACTGTCTTACTGTATGCTAAGTCTATTATTACTATCAGGTGTTTTTTATTTGTCCTGAAAATCATTGTTTCAAAAGTTATTCAGGGTAGTTATTCAGGGCAGTCATAACAAACAAATTAACACATCAACTTTGACAAATATGGAAATATGTCCAGTAGTAACCAAGACATTCTCCAACAAATGAGTACCTATTTAGTTGAAGGGGATTGAAAAAACATTGTTTTTTAAAACTGCTATGAATAGATACTCCTTTGAATAATACCGTCAACAGACACACTGCACCCATCAATAGGACCGACTTGGCTTATTCCATAGAAAGAAAATATTAAACTATTTTCTGTTGGGAGTTTAAAGGCCACGATAGAGGGGTTAGTCTTAGTCTCAGTCTTAGTGTTATTCTCCAGTTTACTTCGAGAGCGCGTTGAATAAAAAGCTATACAACATGCTAGTTAGTTGTTCGGGAGCCGTGAAGCGTCCGAAACTGTTAGCATTAAATGTAAATGAAAAAACAATTGTTATGAATTTTTATGATTCTTTAAGAATACAAAATCAGTCAGAAACCAAAAGTAAGGAGGAAGTAATGCAAAAATGCGCGAGTATGACCGCGCATAGACCGACAATTTTTAGATTTCTTAAGGAACTCGAAGAAAACAATAGCTTTTTGGAGCCAAAACTAACCACTGGCAGAAAGTGTTTGGTTATCGACGAAGAAGTCAAGAGTTCTATTAGGACAGTACAATATTTTTAGATAAAAAACGAAATACCTGTGAATGTGAATCGTATTTTATATATCATGTAACTCAATTGAACTACTTGTCTCCAGTCGAAACGTCGTTTTTAAGTAGAGGCCATGACATCTTCCTTTGAGAAGACGTCACCTATGAAAATGACAGAAGTCTCAATTCACGAATATCGAAGGAAAACGACACTCTCCAAGGCAGTTTCAAAGCCAAGTTTCTACAGACGGCAGAACGAGATTCATTCTCAGTCTTTCACTGCAAGGTAAGTACATCAAACCAAATCCCAAAAAACAAAGCATTCAAGATTCAACACCAGATAGTGCTGATGTTGAATCTGGTTCCATCAGTGGTAGTAGTCAGAACCACAAATTCATTGCTGGATAAACAGGACTCCCCACGATGGTTTGTGGCAAAGCCTATTTCGATTATCATGTATAGTTTCACAATACAATGTCTTTCCGTACAATGTCTTCCACTTTTATTATTCTGTCTGAATGTTGGTTCCAGGTGGATAGAGCAAAGGTACGCTAACGTTAAGCCCTTCTTCTTCATTCCAGCTTGTTATAATATTCAGCACCTGCTGGAAAAATGCATTAGATTGATTGAGAACACTTCTTCAAGGGCCCTGCGATTATATCAGGAGGTGGTGGGTATTTTTTCAGTAAAGGCTTCTGAATTACTTTTGATAAATTGGAGAATTATTTTTATTATTCTATTCAGTGCCTACTTACCTGAATAACGGCCAAAGCAAACCCTATCCCTCCAATATCAACTGCATGTGCTCTAACAAAATCTCCAAAGGCAGCTTCGCATCCGATTCCGTAGGGAGTAGTAGTTGATGATGGAATAGGAGTAGTTTCGTTACCAACAGGAGTAGTAGATGATGGAATAGGGGTAGTTTCGCTATCAACAGGAGCGTTGTTGGCAGCTAACATTGAAGGAATAACGGAAGTATTGTTAAGTATAGTATCGTCGATTGGAGCTAATAAAGAAGAATCAGTTCCAGAAGCTGGAAAAAATTCTATAGCAAATATTCATTTCTTCAAAATGAATGTATACTACAAATATAAAAAACAGTATGGACTCTAAAATCACTAATGTGTTCAATGTATTATTTACTTCAAATTATTATTTAAAAAGCATGAACAAGTGAGAAATTACCCTTATTCAGTGACAAGTATTTTCCATAGTACACTATTCAATTGATTGAATTGAAGACAAAATGAGAAAATACCAAGAAAGTACTTGATAAAAAAAGCTGCGTAAACGCAAGCGAAACATAAGTGGAACACCCAAGTCAACTTGCCAAGTGTTTATGTAAGTGTTGGTGGTTTGACCAATGAACCGGTGGCTCTTAAATTGAAATCAATATGGGAATGATCAAAGAGTACTTATCTATTTATTTTTTGATTTTCATGGAATTATTTTCCATATGGGAAACTTATTTATTGGGGGTTTTTCGACAAAAAGGTATTCTTGATAAAAGTTTGTGCATCCTCTAAAACTAAACGTGCACCAACAAAATACATTACAACACACGTAATATACGAGGAACCTTCAAATATTTGATTTTGTGACAAAAGTAAAGTACTCTTATTTTGAAAATTTTCTGGAAATGTTATTTAGAAAAAGTTGTTCAGCATTGGAAAATACATCTACATTTGAAGTCATGGCCATGTAAGTGAAGTTTTACTTTTTTACCCATTTTTTTAAATGGGAACTACGAAAAAAATGTTTTTACTAAAACGATAAACAGACAGCATCGTGTACACGATGGTTCATTATAGGAGCCTGTAATATTACAAATTACACAACTATGGGGTTAACCACGGTCAATTGTTTTGAAAAGTAAATTAATTTTCAAAGTTTTTGGTGCAAAGTTATTTTTATTTTTTGTTAACACCAAAGATTACTCAAAATTATACAGTATTGTAACAAGAACTCAATATTCACTAATATCAAATCACAAAACATCAAAAGAAAATAGGCATTTCGGAACAAACTCATTGATTTTCTGGAGATTCAACTTGAAACACTTATTTTGGACTAGAAAATCTCCAGGAAATCAATGAGTTTGTTCAGAAATACCTATTTCATTTTGATGTTTTGTGATTTGATATTATTAAATATTAAGTTCTTGTTACAATACTGTATAACTTTGAATAGAATATCACACAATACATATACAGGAGTTAATACATTAAGTACATATATCATTCATTTGCGAATACATGTACCTATCATGTAACTATCATTGTATTTTGTACATACCTCTTTTCTTCCGAGATTGCGGAGGGACAATTTTTGTCGTTGATGACGGCGCCGTAGTTGGCGCCGGTGTAGTTGTAATCACTATCGATGAAACATCATTACAATAAAACCCACCCATGGTACCACTTTTAGCAGGACAGCATGAAATTGGTAAATCAGGCTTTTTGTTCTCGACTATCCAGTCAGTATAGTTAATAACACCGCAGCACTGAAACTGAGAATTAAATACGTGATACCACAAACTTTTCACAAATCCAAAATTTGTATGGGAACAAAGTAATAACAGCTCATGGAAAAAGTATTTAGTGGATGAGGAATCGAACGGGAAAAAGCATTTTTGGGTTTCCAGGAAAATATAAAGAATGGATTACTCTCAGAGAAAAATGAAAACCACTGAAAGTGTCAACGAGAATATTGAATTGAAAAAACAGTTTGTGATTAAAAAATACGTATTATTGGTGGTATATTGAATACCCAATATATTTCAAATATTAAAATTTGTTAGGTATTGCATTATAATACTATCAGTCTATCTCGTATACCAGGTGTCAATGAATCTACAAGACTAGGTCATAACTTATGAAATATTGTGTGTATCAAAGTAAGATTTGATATAGATAAATTGTATATCCTACTAAATCAATTGCATATGGAACTCTTGACTAGTTGAAATCATGTTGAAGTGGGAGAGGACGGCAAACATGATATTTTACACATAGCGAAATACTTAAATGCACTGGTTCTGCTCAAAATATGAGTTTCTTTGAAATAAATGGTGTGAAACATTTTCACTACTTTGCGTTGACTACATTTCATCTCCACAGGCTATCCAACTCGATAAGGTTTTTGCAATAATGACATTTTTTTCATCTCATTTATACCACTGCAGTGACCTTTCACAAAATATTACATTCCAGTAACATACGTATTTCCCTAGTTTTATTAAATTCCTTTATCAAACCCCTCCGAACTCATTTCTAATCGTTATTAATTTTTCATGAAAAATTTGAAATAAATGTTTTTTACCACTTTTATTCGTAACTATTACAATAAACTAAAAGTAAATCACAATGTTAGCCCTTATACAGTGCTTTTCTTTAATGTTCCTCCCCTTTTATTTTTTGAACGGGTCAACTCAAAAAATTGAAATTTGGACTGAAGCAGGTTCTGATGTTGTACTTGGAACCAATTCTTCTTATCCTCTCCGATAATCCTCTGATGTAGGAAAGTGTAAAGACTGGTTGTGACGGCTTCTCTTCCTTGCGAGGCTCCTGCTGTCTTTCAGCCAAAGTCTTTTCTACTATCGCTTTGGAGTAACCATTCCGTTGAAGATCATTTTTGATGATGTCTAGTTCCTTCTTGAGACGTTCCTTCTTATTACAGAGCCCAACAGCACGGTCTAATAGAGTCTTGATGACTCCTCTTTAAGTCGATTGATAGTGGTTGGATTCATGGTTCAGATACTGTCCCGTATGAGTGGGTTTTCGGTATAGAAATGTTTCCCACTTAGTGTCGGTCCTCTTCACCAAAACGTCTAAGAATTGCAATTCGTTGTGGATTTCCTTCCCCATTGTGTTGATGTGTTTCAGGAAGGCGTCTAGTTCAGTATTCCCATGGTTCCATATTATGAAGGTGTCGTCAACATATCTCAACCAGACTCAAGGTTTCTTGTGGGCTTCTTCTTCACCTTTTTGAAGCTCCTGACAAATCAATATCTTCAAATTCTATAAAATGGCAGAACATTCAATAATTGCGTGAATACATTGACATGCAACTACATAATATGAGGTAATAAGCTCGAGATCAGCTCAGAAGATGCTCAAAATGGTTGCCTTGAACTTCTTGACATATGAACAGCCTATCCGATATTTCACGCCGAACATTTTCGAGCACAGTAATGTCAATATTTCTACAAATAGTTACTAGTCTCTGCCGTATATCCAGTATTGAAGCAGGTTCAGTTTCGTACACCTTTTGCTTCAAATAGCCTCATAAAAAAAGTTCGAAGGCGTCAAATCTGGCGAGCGGGCTGGCCATTCTGTAGGACTTCGAAGGCCAATCCAACAACCGGAAAAAGTAGTATCCAAATAGTTTCTTACTTGTTTGGAGTGATGTGGTGGTGCTCAATTTTGTTGGAATACAATATTCATATTGAATTCATTAGGATTCGCTTCAACGATTTCAGTGATGACAGGGTCATAGTAGTTTCCAGCATATTCAAATACAGCTCCCCTGTCACATTTTGATCAATAAATAGAGGACCTACAATATGGTTTCCCAATATTCCTGCCCAAACGTTAATTTTTTCTGGATATTGGGTATGTGTTTCCCGGAAAACGTGAGGGTTGGTGTCACTCCAATAACGACAATTTTGTCTGTGAACATTGCCGTTTAAAAAATGTACATTCCTACAATATGTGGAGATAGATAGGATGCCTTGCAATGGTTTCCGTCATGATTTCACATAATTCTGTTTTTCGATCAGAGTCATATTCAGTTAATTGGTGATTCATTTTGATTTTGTATTGATTAATTTCATTATCCCAAATTTCAATTTTTTGAGTTGACCCGTTCAAAAAATAAAAGGGGGGGGGATTTAGGAAATACACTGTATATATACTGTAGGTAATAATAAAGGTCCTTAATTTAATGATTTATTTTCAGTTCATTGTAATTGTTTGGAAAAGTCCTTATAGGACAAAACTGCAAACATTAGTTACCAATTCTATTTCTCATTTTTGATGACGATCTCTCCTACCACGTAATAACGGCTACATCCATCATTTTATTCATTTTTCTGTGAGAGTTGTAACAAAAAAAGTATCTTGATTTTAAACACCCTGAATATGGTAAACATAATTGCAAAAGAAATAACGTGGTATGATTCTGTTACAACAAATGCTAATTGACAAAACATATATTCAAAGTTTATTTCTGAACGGTGAAAGAAAACAATTTCATTCCAAACATCTACTAGCATTCCAGAAATCTGTTAATATTACTTTAGTATATTTACCTCTTTTTGAATTGTGTCCCATATGTCACTAATACTCGAATCATTGTGATATAACTTCATATTTTCTTTCATGGTGTTTTCGAGGTAATTGGAAGTTTGATCTCTCAAAACGTATCCTGCAATACCAGCGGCAAATTCAAAAATGAAAATGATTCCCAGTAAAATCGAAAACTGAAAAAACATTGAAAACACTGTATTTCTCGCAAATTATAATCTAGCGTTATAAATGTGAATATAGAAAAGTTATCAGCCCACAAAATTTTGACAAATCTTTGAGAAATTTAAGCTGCCATTCTGAGAACACGGTAATTTGAATTTTCTTCGTTGAAAACAAATTCATTGTATATTCGATTTCATGTAAGGTAATTCTGTCTGGATAAAACACCACTACAGTGAAGAGGATCGTCACTAAGTGGGAAACATCTGTATACCGAAAACCCACTCACACGGGATAGAATCTGAACCACGAATCCAACCACCATCAATCGACTAAAAGAGAAATCATCAAAACTCTATTAGACCGTGCGTTCGGGCTGTGTAATACGAAGGAAGATCTCGAGAAGGAACTAGACATCATCAAAAATGATCTTCAACGTAATGGCTACTCCAAAGCGATGGTGAAACAGATTTTCGCTAAAAGCGCAGCAGGAACCTCGCAAGGAAGAGAAGCCGTCACAACCAGTGCTTGCACTTCCCTACATCAGAGGATCATCGGAAAGGATAAGAAGAATTAGATACAAGTACAACATGAGAACCTGCTTCAGATCCGGAAACACTATCCGTAGCAGCCTCACAAAAACCATGCCACCAAACGCGGACTGCGATTCCAAGAATTGCATTTACCATACCCTGTGAGTGCGGAATATCCTATATCTGTGAAACTAAGAGGCCATTAAATGTTCGCATTGCCGAGCACAAGAAACACGCACAGCGAGGGGAAACCAGCAAATCAGGAATAGCATAGCATGTTTGAACCCATCAAAATAACATCGAGTGGTCCCAAGCTGAGATCATACACAGGGAAAAAAATTGGTTCAGGAAGGAATTCAAAGAAGCTACATACATGTTGTACAACAATGTATTCAGCCAAGCTAGCGTAGAGATACACAACATATGGATATAATATAATTGTCATTCACAGCTATTCATTTTTATTTCTTCTTTTTTTATTGGTTCTTTTATATAATATCAGACAATGGAAGTCCGAACTAATGAAATTCAGCTTTTCACTGGCATTTTTTTGGAATCGACTGCAGTATCGCTGCGAATTCTCTTTCATGTCGGTCATCATAAAAACAGATTTTTTTAACAGATATCATTTGACGACTGAAAACGGGTGCTTCGAAGTGATAATTTGAGTCTTGGAAAAAAATAATCGGTTGGAGTCATATCAGATGAAAAGGGTGGTCGTTGGTTGTTGAATTTTTGGCAAGTAGCAATGATAGCCTTGTGAGATGGTGCGTTGATAAAGTGCAAAATCGTGCACATATCTAGTCTTTCTCAACAAATTTGATGTCTCTAACGCCGCATAATTCAGATACTATTCTTTATGTACCTGCCAACTTTTGGCAAGAATTTCGAGTTCACAACACCACGTTAACCTAAAAAAACTGTTAACATCATCTTCACTTTCGATCGACTTTGACTTTTTTCTGGGCTCAGTTGGACAGCGCCTATCCGAATCTTCTTGATCTTCTTGACTGGTTTGCATATAAAATTCATGAAACCATCACCAGTTACTATGCCTTTCATTAATATGGAGTTGGAACTTACTCGTTCTAATATGTTAACAGTGACCTTAACCCTATTGAGTTTTACAGAAAATTCAGGTCTTTTGGCACTAGTCGAGAGGCAACGCATTTCATTCCTGAAAAATCGTTTAAAATGATACGAAGTGATTCGTGAGACGCTGAAGAAATTTCAGCGGATATCTCTCTCGGACCTGAACGACGATTGCCAGTCACCATTTCCTTTACTCAAGCGATGTTAATTTAGTTGAGGATGTTGATGGAGAACCAGATCGAGGCAAATCTTCCGCTTTAAAATGCAGTGTACCACTCATACGCACATATTTTTTCATAAAGTCGATTCATCGTCTCATGCAACATTTTCAGCGCTTCAACACACGACATTCTTTTGCAATGCAAACTTCAGGAAGCTTTTTTTATCGATATTTTCATCCAATGTAAAAAGCGCAAAACGCATTTGAGGTTAATCAACGAATTGAGGTACTGTAAAGAAACTAAAGAACGGATAACGCTCAAACTCCTCGTGAGTATAGAGGACAGGTGTGCCAACCTAGCTAGAATTTTAAATTTCGACGAGCTTTTTGAATGATCGATTCCTAGTACTTTTTCGACAGAGTAAATGCCATAAATTATATTTTACCCTAAGCAAAATCAGATCTTTACCAACATTACAAAGATATTCGGAGGAGAATTTGTTCTTAACGACGGAAAACTTCACTTTAGGAGAATTATATTCAACATATAAAAGTTACCTCAATTAGGTAACTGAACCAATGGGATCGCCATTGGAATTGGCCGTGGAATTGGCCGCGGTGGTAGTGCGCCCGACTTACGATCGGAAGACCGTGGGTTCGATTCCCGCCTCGACCAGATATTTTTCTCTAAAGAATTTATCTGGTTGAAGCTGGAATGATTCTGCAACCGTGTTAGGAATCACACGTTTAAAGGTAAGACCTCATTAGTCCTTAGCTCGCACAAGTTTCTCAACTTCTGCGAGTTGTCGTTCGGATGGGGGCGACAGCTGATTAACGGAAACACAGATTTTAAACAGATTTTTTTTTAAACCAACAGCGTTTAGAATAAAAACTCTGGATGACTATCTATTCAGTTTCTTCTCTTCCGTATATCCAATATGTTACCTCCAGTAGTTATATAAAAAGCGTATTCAAAAAACACTTTATTGTGATATTTTCACTAAACGGTTTCACAAAAACACAAGACGTGTTTCGCCATATAATGGCTTCTTCGAGCGTGTCTTTACTAACTATATTCTACATATTCATTGCTCAATATACCTAATTTTACAATTTGAAGTACCTACATTTCAAGTACCTTTGCTGGCTCAAATTTTCATGGATAATATAGAGTATGAAATCCATAATAATCAGTTAACTAACAGTTTCTTGTACTGGTACAGACACGTAGATGATATCTTAGTCTGTTTTACTGGTACAGATTGGCATTTAGGCAAGTTCGTTGAATATGTCAATTCCATCCACCCGTCAATAAAATTCACCACTGAAAGGGAGGTAAATAATTCAATAAATTACCTTGACTTAACCATTATGAAAAATAAAAATAAACATGAAACTATCTTACACGGACATTATCATTCATAATACTTCCACACGCCCTTACCAGCATAAAGTTGCTGTATTCAATAGTATGCTTCACAGACCAAAAAACTACAAAATCAGGCCATGGACCAGGTCTATCCAAATTCAAGATGCGGTAACGTTAGTTATAGGACATTGTCATATTTGGGTGAACCCACCAATAATATTTCCCGTTTTTTGAAGAAAGAATGCGTAAACGTAGCTTAAAGAACGAACAATAGTCTAAGTAAATTTATTAAAAACAAAAAAGACAAAACTTCGGTGACGGATAGATCAAAAGTATACAAGCTGACTGATGGCTCTTGGACAAACAGGGAGAACATTTCCCCAAAGAATTGAAGAGGATAGAAGTAGTTTTGTAAATAGAAAAATCAATTCCACATTTCTAAACCACCTTTTAGCAGAAGGACATGAATTCAATCATGAATACGACGTGTTACATTCAGAAGAGAAAAGTTTGAAACTCAATCTTCTAGAATGTCTAGAAATCAATAGATCCAAGAATTCGGGTAGTTCACTGAATAATCAATCAGAATTGAATAACTCCCCCTTACTAAATATTTTTTCAAATGTGGAAACTGGGACATGAGCTCAGGTTATTCAATTCATTACAAACTCAAGTGAAACTTGAAATATAGGTACTTCAAATTGTAAAATTAGGTATATTCAGCATTTAATATTTAGAAGACACGCCAGAAGAAGTCATTGTATGGCGAAACACGTGTTGCGTTTTTGTAAAACTGTTTAGTGAAAATCTCACAACGAAGTGTTTTTTGAATACATTAGTTTTGAATTTTCCTTAACTATCGGCCAATTCCATCATATAGTTTTACAGTGTGTAAAAGCCAAATGGAATAAATTCATTATTTCGGTTACTGTACATATTTTTTAAATCCCGAAACACGTCAAATGTAAATTATAATTTGACACGATTCAACAAAAAAATGCAATCCCTTCCTTCAACCCCTTTCGAATGACAGGTACAACCCCCAATTTTTTAAATGGGAAGTATAGGCTTGTGATATATCGTTTGGAAGGTATCTTCATTCTCTTTTCAAAAATGTTATCACTTTCGAGTTTATTGCAACATTTAAGATAAAATAAATCAAAATCATGTGGTTACCGAAATTCGTTAAAATACACTCAAAACTTATTGCAATAAACTCAAAACTTATTTCATGTTGAGGTATTGATAATAAAAATGGTATCCTTCAAAAAACTGCAAATAATTTCCGTGGCAACGTTAGTTTAAAACGTCTTGTCAACTTGTTTTGTATATTACAACATTGGTTGTCAGAATTTTTGTTTGAGTTTAATATTCGTCAACTTCAAGTCTGACAAATGGTTAGATTAACGGAAATGCATGAAATAACAGTTTTACAAACGATTGGTTACGGAGATGAAATCTGAACACAATAGGAAGTAGTTCGCCTATTTCATGAGAAATTTACTAATTTACCCCCCATATCTCAAGGAACAATAAGCAAAATAGAGAGAAGTTTCGCGAGCTTGGTCATGTGGATCAGAAAAAAAAAGCACCTTCCAATGCAATGAGTGATAAACTCAAATTAGATGTAATGCTTGAGTTTGAGGAAAACCCACATACATCGAGTAGTCAGGCATCCACTATATTCAATGTTAGCCATACATCGATTGTAAACATATTGAAAGAAAATAAAATGCATCCCTATGAAATGATACCCACTCAGGAGCTCATGGAAGACAATATTTATAGAAGAACTTATTTTTTTGAGCAAATGATGGACATGTTGGATAACAATATCATCCAATTAGAAGACGTTATGTTTTCTAATGAGTGTACTTTGTCTCTTAACGATCATGCTAATCGGCAAAATTGCCGCTACTGGTCAACGGAAAAGCCCCACTGGATGACAGAAGAACACTCAAAAGGTTAATGTTTGGGCAGGGATTGTGGAAAACCATATCATTGGTCACTTTTTCATTGAGGGCAACTTGAATGGCGATAATTATTTGGCACTACTTCAAAATAATGTCATTCCAAGTTCAGCAAATTTATATCCTGATCCAGGAAACCCTCAAGTTCCAGTGAATATGATATGGTTTCAGCAGGATGAAGCAGCACCACATTACCAAGTTAATGTCCCGCAATACCTCGATACAACATTTCCCAATCGGTGGATAGAGAAGAGAGGATCGATTGAATGGTCAGCACGATCACCTGATTCGTTTGAAGGTGATTGACAATGTTTCATGATGAATTTCACTAGTTCGGACTTCCATTGTCTATTATATAAAATGATTTGAAATCCCTGAAACAAATAAAAAAGAAGAATTGAAAATGAATAGCTGAAAATAACAATTATATTAACCAAAATAAACCTGAAATGAAATAATAGTGAAATAAAAT